AATTGACTGCAAATGCCACTTATTTTGACCTAATGAAAACCAAGCTTAAGTCATATATGTACATACCAAGGCACATTAAACAGGTAGTATCAGTAGAGCAAAAACAACATTTGCGTGTATTTTGTTGTTGCTTCTGGTATCGAAAGTGTCAACAACTGTTCTGAATTTTTTCTTCTAAATCAAAGCGTGCCATGTGAAATACAAAAAATTATAAAAAATAAAAAATTGAAATTGGAAAAAATAAAAATTGATGCAACTTTCTTTCCTAGTAAATTTGTTTGCTTCTCGAAGCATTGATCCATCCTTTGCAAGGCCCAGTAATCAGCGGTCGTGCTGCNAATAATTTGAAAATAAATCAAATCAGCTGCTCTACTGATACTACCTGTTCAATGTACCTTGGTACATACATTTCAAATATGAACGAACGGGGTTTTCAAATATGTATCTCGACTCCTACGCCAACTAGCGGATTAATTCAGCGTCATTAGCTCAATCATATAATTTTGTGAGATTTGAAAGTCTTTTAGTAAATGAATGTAGGCCACTTTTAGGCCTCTGAAGCACGTCCTTCTGTTATCAGATTTTGAAAATTTTGCGCAGAACATGTTTCTATGACCAAACGAACTTATCCAAGGGTGGCTTGGTTTGAAGCTTAAACCAATTTTCTTGATAGTTAATTTTTCTTTATTTATTTATTTTTAATGTTCATATATGTATGTATGTACATAACCCAAAGTTTCAAACAAGTGTAAAAAATAAATAAAGAAAACATTAATTGTTAAAACTTGTGCCTTTTTATATGACCACCACTGCATGCATGTATTGCAAAAAAAAGTTTGCTGCATTATACATACATAGGTACATACATATGTTTCTTATAGAGCTGGTACCCGTGAAGTTCATAATAAATTGGAAAAAAATCGACGAGCCCATCTGAAGGAATGCTACGAGCAGTTGAAGAACCAACTTCCTTTGAAAGAAGACGAACGCAAGAAGACCTCGAATTTGGCAATACTTGGCGAAGCAATTAAATACGTTAAAGTAAGGCAAATGCCATTATTTAAATATGTCAGCGCAAGTCCTAAAAATTTGCAAACTTTTCTTTTATAGAACCTTAAAAAGAAGGACCAAGAACTTGAAGCCGAAGTGGAGCAGTTAGCTAAAACGAAAATCAATTCCCAACTTAAGCTTGTGTCTTTGAAGAGGGAGCTTGGTCCAAAGTATGAGCAAATGTTTCCAGGACCGTTTTTGGAATTCGAAATAAACCATTGTGAAAAAGGTATGAATTTTCATCCACTTTGTATATGCTTATTTGTTTAAACTGAGAGTGTGTTAGTGTGTCGGATTGATTTTACATACCCAGTAGGAAAATGGGTAATGCATTCCCCCAAGTTTCGACCATGGAAAGGTTGGCGATTACGATTGAATGAAAATATGCAACCCAATATAAGCGCATGGGTAATGTACGGTCGAAGATTTCAATCCGATCATTGTGAGATGAGTGAATAACGCAATAATCCATGCGTTCGAAAGGGTGACGTTTATTTTGAAGCAACAACGGAAGCGAAAATTGAGTCTGAGCTTAAGCTCACCTTTAATGCATGAGGTGCAATATTTAAGGTGTATTTTGTTTGTCGTAGTTCGAGAACGTTCCCTTTTATTTTTTGCATTATAATTGGGGTATTCACAACGGTGTCGTGTGTAGTAAACTTTGGAAGCTTAAATGTTTAGTGGAGTCGAAACCACAACCAACTATTTCTAAACACTGAGAATTCATAATATGACGTTGCGAACGCCCGAACATATTTTTTAGCCGTTTAAAGTTTGCGATATATGTACAACAATACGGTACTTAGGACACCGTTGTGAATACCCCAAATGGACTGTCCCGGATAATACAGGACGGATGGTCACCGTACTTATACGTGTGTTGAGGCAGTGAATTTTGGAAGTTTAGTCTAGAGAAATTTTTTCATGCCGCCACCGCGGTAAAAGCTGCAAACTGATTTTAGTAAAATTTTACAGTAGAGCAAAAAGAATCATTGAGTAAAAACTTCGCACTACCTTCAAAATTCGAAAATACCCCTACGTTACCCTTTATATACTCTATTTATTGACCTTAAAAAATAATTTTTTTTACAAAAGTTTTAAGTTATAAATGAAAAAAGGAGTTAGCTGGCTTTTTATACTAAATAAACGTCTGTTGTAAAAATTTTTATTAGAAAAAATACAATAAATTAAGATTAATCATGGAGATTAGTAGAAGCAGTTGGTAGGGACAACTATAGTACTAGCCTCAAAAGCTTTAGGCCCATTAGCATGATGTCCTTCATACTGAAATGTGAGGAGAGATTGGTTGAGTTGCAATTTGTAGGGAGCCGCTTTCATCACATCCTCTGTCTTTGCATCAACACGCCTATCAGGCGGGGAAATCTGGCTGCCAGAATTAGCAATGCCACCTTCGATGGCACGTGCAACTCGGCTCTAAGTCATGGGGTAGGTTGTGTGCTGGTAAATTGGATTTGCTAAATGCTCGCACAGATGTTCGTAAGCATTCAAGCAGTAGGGCCCTGCTGGTCTATGCAGATAATGCCGCCTGCCTAATTGCAGACCCTTCTCTATCAGTTGACTGCAGGAAAGCGCAAATATATATGAATATGATTGACACTTGGTGTGGTGAAAACGGAATGTCCGCTAGCCTAACCAAAAGAAGTGTTGTGATCTTCATTAGGAAGAGAAGGTTGGACGGCATACCTGAATGACTCGGGTTTTAACCAACCAAGGGCTGTTGTTTCGGCGACCTAACCCCGTTTAGATCGGCGATACTCTTCAATCATTGAGCCTAACGCCGTACCAGAAACATACTTCCGCTGCGTTTGCCAGAGTCGACTCCATCCTGCAATTCCTGCAACGGATGGATTCACTGAAGAACCTGTTCAGGCCTTAGGTCTCACCGGAAATGGACCACAAGCTTTTGTGGCCCCCTATTGCTCAAGCCAAAGAGCACCAGCCTCTACGGCTATCCACTCGCGCAACGAGCAGGTGCGAACTCGCACCCAAAGAGCGTACACGGCTCCAAGAAGCTCCCCTGAGCAACAGCAAACCTCCCCAACACCTCAACCCTCACACCAATCTACCACCAGCTTCAACTCGCGTGTGCGAGCCAACCAGCAGCTCTGGTTGCCCACACCATCTGCTCCGTGTGCCAGAACAGAGTTTACCGGAACGTGGTATTAGTCAAATGCAACGAATGCCTTGGTGCCACTTCCGCCTATGCTCTGGTCTACGCACCTCACGCGAATGACCAACCAACTACCGCGCCCCCTGCTGCAGAGCACTGTCGGCGCAGACAACGTTGCACCCACTGCAGCCACCCACCACCAGGCAGCAACTGCAACTGCGTCGAGTGCAGCAGGCTCAAGGTAGACCTCATGTCCCTCTCCGACGCATAGCGACCAGCCTCCCAAGCCATACGAAACTCTAGAACTGAACTGCAACGCACTTCAGAGCAATACTGAAGAGGAAGCAGTCTTTATTGGTCGGCATGGCATATTTATAGCTACGGTCCAAGAAACGAAGTTGCACAGCAACTCAACCCTGTTGAGTTGCGCCGCCAACAATGCGCTCCGTAAAGATCGCGAGCGCGATAATGGTGGAGGTATAGCATTCATCCTACACCAACAGTGCTGTATCGACTTAGCGAAGACGTCCTCGACCCGAGGGACACCACCCTAGAATGTCAGGGCATAGCTGTCCAGTCAGGTGATGTCGACCTCTAAATATTTAACGTAGACATCTGTGTTCGTATGGAATGGTAGAACCATTTCTGCACGTTTATTTGCCAAAAGGTCTTCGACGGCTTGGCTCCAGGGAGTCATTCACAATCGTGTGCTGCGAATGCCGCATTATACTAAGGCCAGCCTTTCGACATAAGCTACTGTTCCATACGGACACAGAGTGCGCTACTCAGAGGTGAAAAAAAGTTTTTTCCTTTTTTAGCTCTTTGTCTAACAATACATATCAATCTAAATTGCAGATTTTGTAAACAAATTATAAAAATTCCACAATCTTTTCATTCCAATTCCAAATATTTTAATTGTAATTTTTAGAATAATTTTTGGTATGCAGTTTTATCGCTTATTAAATTCTAGTATAATAAAGTGCACTCGGAGGTTTGCCATTACTTGCGGAGTGGCGACCGCTTTTAAGGAAAAACCTTTTTTCTAAATTTTTTGTGATGTGGAAGCGCGCACTGCTTACTACTACACCACAGCGGCCGCAGGCATTTAAATTTCTCTGTCGATTTCTATAGATAGAAACAAATTATTTTAAGGTTAGGTTAAAACGGCAGCTCTGAAAAGAGTTGACTCGGAAGTCACAAAGGCTTTCTCCAAGGTATCCAGGCTCTCGAAGAAATGGTCCCAAAGAAATTTGAGGCGTTTTCCTCAGAGTGCTGTGCACTCGGAAAATAAGTACTACATGGATTCTATCTCCTTCTCATCTCTGCAGCTTTTGCAGAAGTCGTTATACGGGGTTCCGAACCTTGTGGCCATTTCGCCGAAGGCATAACCAAAAGTATTAGACAAAGTTATGGTTATGGCACATCTATTTGGGATTTTAATTGCTGTTACGGGGTACTTCATTTGAGTCTATGGAGGCCGCAAAACAAAATTCATTGAAAGAAATAAGGGCTATGTTACATCTAAGTGAAGCTACTTACAATGAGATAAAATAAATCTTAATGTTTAAATGGAAATTTAACAATTCTTGGTACATTTTTTATAAGATATATGGCCTTTCACACATATGTATGTATGTGTGTACTAAAACATGAATAAAATTCATAAAAATTACGTTTTTAAGATTAACTTTGACTGGACGTTTTTCCATGTGGAATACCTGGCAACACTGATTAACTTCCAAAATTCAATCCCATGAGAATTAGAAACGTAAGTTGTGAATTGTATTCCCGTTACAATTCTGCATTTATCTCAGTACTTTCCAAATTTAATGGATTATGTGTTTAAGTAGAGATTGTTGAACAAATTCAGAAATTCATTTTCAGATGCAGCGCTTACCCTTCTCTTCATCGATTTGACAACGTCCACCCATTCCCTGACGTCACACAATACTTTTGTTTAAATTCACTATTGCCAACTTCGTGCTTTTCGCACCAAATTTAGTGGGTATTCAAAACGCGAAAATTTTTGAGTTTGGATGCGTTTTTGGTGCCTTTGATTTTAGTTTGAAGACACCAAATTTGTAAATCTTAAACAAATGGAAGCAAAATTTATAGCAATCGAAGGTGTGGTAAGCAACAAAAATTGAAACATAATCATGGCCCGGTGACAATCATAAGTGACAACAAAATATGTGGCAGCACCTTCAATCATACCAGAAGAAATCGACCGTCGTGCAAGAAACATTGATTTTTATTAATTTGAATCGGCATCCTTACAATAAAATTATGTATGCATATAAAGTCCATTAAATACACCAATAGAAATTTGATGCTTTTTCAAATTCAAAACTTGGCAACACTGCCTTTTGTTTGATGTTTCCTCTTTGTTTTCGAGTTCGTCTTGCTCTCTCATTCTGGTATTTGTTGACGTCACGTCCGGTTGCTCCCAGCTCCTTCACTGCAAATATCAACACACTTGCCCCATTTCAAACCATTTTTTTTTTACAAATTAAAAAAAACTTTAAAAATTTAGTCGCCAGTGGTGTAAGTCTCAAGTACTCCGCTCATCAAAAGTTCTTCTTCGATTTGCATTAAGAATGAGTACCCCACAAAACACAACAACAACAGCAAGTCCCACTACATCGGCACTTTCGTCAAAGCTGCAAACTAAAAATTCAAAGTTTTCAATATTTTTATAAGTTCGTTCGCGACCATGGTACAATAATTACAGGTATTGTGTTCCCAGAGAGCGCATATTCCGATCGGNTCCAGCTCCTTCACTGCAAATATCAACACACTTGCCCCATTTCAAACCATTTTTTTTACAAATTAAAAAAAAACTTTAAAAATTTAGTCGCCAGTGGTGTAAGTCTAAAGTACTCCGCTCATCAAAAGTTCTTCTTCGATTTGAATGGGTAGCCCAAAAAACAACAACAACAGCAAGTCCCACTATGTCGGCACTTTCGTCAAAGCTGCAAACTAAAAATTCAAAGTTTTCAATATTTTTATAAGTTCGTTCCCGACCATGGTACAATAATTACAGGTATTGTGTTCCCAGAGAGCGCATATTCCGATCTGCCTTATTTAAAAAATATCATTCTTGCCCACACTAAAAAGTTTACTGCTAGGGAAAATGGATATTTCCATACCTCATATACCATATATGTACATGTGTTTTTTTAAACAAACCTTGCAGAGAACTTATTTAATTTGCAAAAGCCGAAAAAAAACATTTGCTTGTATATAAATTAAAAATGTGTATGGCTCACTTCCTTTCATCGTTTTTTCTTTTGTTTTGAAAAATTACATGATAAAAACATAGCAAACTGCGTTAAAATGAAAATAAGGGAGCACGAATATCGATGTGAAGCAAAACTCTCTGGGAAGACAATCCCTGCTATTAGGTTTGTTCCACCAGCTACTCGAAGTCACTTCGAGTTACACATACGCGTTCCACAAGTAAGTTTTTGGGTTTATTTGATATACGCTGACAGTTTGAACTTTGCTCGAGTTTTTCTGGCAAGTAGCTTGTGGAACAAACCTATTATTGTACCATGGTTCTCGACCACGTTTGAGAGAAATAGGGTTTGCGCTAATCACGGTACCGCTATTCCTCTCTCAGTGAATTTGACAGAATCGTTGTTTGTATGACTTCACACTTGTGCAACTTGTTTACGTTTTCCTTGCAACATTTTTTCTTCTTCTTCCATTCTTGCTCACTTTTGGGCATTTCTCTCGCAATTGCACCAGTGTGATGTCACACAAAAGTTATTCTCAAAAATCCTCTCTGATAGGCGCAATCTTGTATTCTATCATTCTTAGTTCTCGACTGCCTTTGAAGTTGTGTTGATTCGCACTTTCACAGTGTGATTGTGAAGTTCAAAAAATAAGTAACATGTGCACGTGCGGGAAGCTGCTGCGCGGGTTACAAGAACAGCCCAGTCAGAAAAAACTCCGAAAATTATTCGGACAACGGAAAGAAAAGTGAATGAAATGGGGATTTTTGTCCGTTTAACGATTTCATTTTCGGACACCTTGACGATTCGTTTCCCGCTAAAGTTTGCGGCAGAAACCTAGGTCTGGAAAAGTACCGAAAATGGTTGTGCGAAGGATACGTTTTCGGCTGTTTTTCTGAAAATTTTCTGATTAAATTTTTCATTGACAAAACGTACTGGTGAGCTACGCATGCCGCTTGAGGGAAATTTGAACAAAAATCTAATTTTTTTGATTTTCTGGGCGCCATGTTGGAAGCATGGGCGTAGCCAGGTATGGGCAGCTCCCCCCCTCGCCCCCCCTAACTTTCAAATTTTCCTTATATATATGTAAAAAAAAAGTACCATGAAATGCCTGCTTAATAGGGTCGAGCCCTCCCCCTTCTAAATTTCATTCTGGCTACGCCGATGGTTGGAAGAAAACTAAAATTCTTTGCTTGAACGATTCATGCTTTCATGGTGTATGGCGAAATGGAGAAAGTCGGTTTGGATTATGTTTGCCAAGCAGCTTGTCGAACAGTAGACACAAGATAGTAAAAGCGTTGCCATATACTAAAAATTAACTATACCACTTAATTGCAAAATTTTAATGAAAGTTTAAAAAACTATAGTATACTCTAGCCTCTAGCGGCGCCCCTGGCATCCGCTAGCGGCACCCCAGGGTTCCGCGGTACCCGTTTTGGGAAGGCCTGTTTTAAAGCACACTTTAGTTACCAACTACATAAGAAACATACACACAAATACTACTAATACAAAATAAAATTTCAATCCAGTATATAGTTTGCTTCAAAAGTTATTACATAATTGATTTCTCACCTCTTAAAAATTACATAAAAAATTCACCTGTTTTAAATATTTTTTTTTTGAATTAAAACATCTTTAACTCAAAAGTTATGCAACAATTTGATTAAGCGTTTTTTTGAGGCTTCACGTATACGTCTATGAATTATATCCATAAACTACCAGCTTGATATATGTATGTAGTTTACAACAATGAAAATAAAAGCTAAATAACACAAAGGTTACCTGTTTTTTAAATTTGCCCATTTACTAGAAAATTTGTGAAAATGGATCTATGTATATGTCGAGCTCCCAAAAAGTTACTTCTGTTTAAAATCCAAATACATTTAAATTCATGGATTAAATTAATGTTTTTTTTTTTGCCTTCTTTTATTTTAATAACTGTAGAACATTTAAATGAAGCTGCGTCTCTTTCTTCTGGACGTGGTAGTATACTGTATAGTTCGTCGAGCTCGTTGTCAAGCGGAGGTAGCAATGGCAGCACTACTATGTCTTCACCAGTTGGTGCTAGTGTAAGTATTTAACAAAAACTAAAAAACTTTATATTACCTTTCGTACTTTCGTTACAAATAAATACAGATGTCATTGCCCACTGCTCTATCACCTGTGATATCTAAAACATATATAAATTGCAACATTGCAAGCAGTGCAAACGGAAATAATAGCCCCTCCAATGCCAGCGTTACATCTAAGGCCCCTGGCGTATTTGACCATCATAATCAGCAACACCAAATTAAATCACCAACTTCGGTGCCTGGCAATACTAGTCCTTCGGGTGTGCTATCCGCCAATACAACTGTTGCTTTGGCAAATGGAGCAATTGTCAATGTGAGCAATGCAGCGCTGTCTTTAACGGCAAAGAACATTTCGGCCATGTCTCTGACACGTGACTCTCCAACACCATCAACGCCATCTCCATCACCGTCATCTTCGAGTTGCGTTTCGTCGTCCTCATCGTTGATATCATCGTCACCGCCACGCACATTAAGTGGCATAATTAGTGGACGAAATGTGACTGTCAGTATTCCAAATAACTTAAAATTCGCTAGTAGCACTGGACTCGCTACGAGCCGAGTAACAGCGACAAGTGGCGGTGTAACAACTGGGAAGGGAACGTCGTCGGCAGCCGCCGCTATTATAGCGACATCTCCGCCTAACAACAACGGCGTTACTTCTAATAATAATGGTAAATAATAATTAATTCAAATTTATTGCTAGCACCATAATTATTCAAAAAGGTTCGGGGTGTCTTAAGAACACATATGTATGTATGCATGTATGTGTGTATGTAGATACTAGGGATGTTACGAATATTTTGATATGCTAAACCGCATCATTTTAAACATTCGCATTCGCATCAAATGATGCAATTGTTCAGTACGGCTGCCCTTATACTACATTCATACTTTTTCTTTCATTGCACGCCGTGTCACTTTATTGCACGCGTGAAGGTGAGCGTTTTAAAGAAAAAATCACGTCACCTCCGTGATCGTACGTAACTGAAATTTTTTCTGGCGTGAACGGTCGTGATTTAAATTTTACCGTCAATCACGTAATTTTCACATACATATGCATGTGTATTTTTAACCAAAAGAAAATCGTAAACTTACTGTTTAACTTTCAACTAAAGTTTAGGTGGCAGGGCAGTTACTCTTCGCATTCTGCAATGCGACAAGTTTGCTTTCACATTGGGGCATGCTGAAATACTCATACAATTTTTTTTTAAGTTGTCGGGTTGAATATTTTGACTCAATCAGCGTCATTGCGAAAGTCGTAAACTAGACAAAATTTTAGGCAAAGCAAAGAGCAAAAGCAAAGGCAGTTGAGTCTACGATGTAAATTTGACCTGCACAACACGATCCTGGGCTCGAATCGTCACATACGATATCGTATTACTCGTCACTTAAAAACACATTTTCGAATTATGACATACGTGAACGTACTCTTCATCGCATTCAGCTTATACGACTGACGTATCACGAAATTTTCTTTCGTAAAAATCTCGAAATAAAAAGCAGTTGGGCCTAAAAGTATACACCATGAAAAGCAACATACGCAATGTGTAATCAGCCAAATCTGACAGTATGAGGAGCATTTAACCGGATGTAGCATGTTAGGCGCGCCTGCTATTCTTTTGGAGATTTTTGGCGACAATAATTAGCGATAGCAAGTGTTGGAATCCGGCTGCTGGTGTATTCGTGTAATATTGGCAAATTATGTACATCAAAGCGGCTAATCGTAACACACGGTAAGCTGGCTGTGGTCAATCATGCAGTCATATTGAAAAGGCTGACGATGTAGAGCGCGATTTCACTTCTGCCGCTTTTTTTTTAGCAGCTACTGTGCTTTTCATTCTTTCTGAGATCGCCAATCGTTGAGCATTTAGACTGCGCTTGTCAATATTTCATAATAAGATCTTCGGCATAATGTATCTCGAAAAGTGAAAGTGTAATGTTAAATACCAACTTCGAAGCAATCGAGTCATAACCGCAACGGATTTGCAAGCGCCAATTTTCTCATTTTGTATTTAATACAAATTCTACAATTTATGTATGCACATACGCATCACTTCTTCATATCCTATTTTATCGCTGTAAAATGTTATAGGTACAGAGATTTTATCAGTACCGTACTGATTTTTCAACTCTTTTACTGATTTTATTCATTTCTTCAATCAGTACGCTAATGTCCTGATTTTTCAAAATTTGTACTGATTTGTACTGATTTTTCTATTCAAACAAAATACTTTAGGATTTTCTTAGAATTTTCACATATCGTTGGAACTTCCTTAAACTGTACTGTAAAAAGTAAGAAGAAAGTAGTTTTATTATAGTTGACATGTTTTAGATAATGTTTGATATGCCCAAGAAATTAAGATCGATTGATAAACAGACGGCAGCGTTGATCCGGATCAACTCGGGAATTAAGTGCGGTTGATCCGGATTAAGTCCGAGTTAATCTGGATCAATGCTGCCATCTCTTTAAACTTTTACATACGCAACTTTGTTTTTTATGTATACATAAATATAAGTATGTATAACATTTATTTATTTATTTTATGTTTTTACATAGCTATTGTAAGAGATTTAGCATCAAGATTCAAATTGATATTGTTTGCAACTTATGATTCTTTATTTATTTAATTGTAATAATTTTCATTTAAAATGTAATAACAGAAACAAGTTACATAAAAGTTTAGAAACTTGCACAAATTTCAAAAACATAATATTACTTCAAAAAATTGTCATACAAATTTCAAACATTTTAATTATGATACAAAAAAGAAGGTAGTTTCATTATCACTTTTTCGTCGCCTTATTAACAACCTGGCAATTAAGGTACTGGTCCAATGCAAGCTCATGATTCAATAGTAAAAGGCATCGTACAGTTCCATAAGTAAAGTAACTCTTCTTCTTACCGTTTTTTTCTGGCAGGCTGTAGGTGTGTTTTTGGCAGGCTGTAGGTGTGTTTTTGGTTATTGTATTGGTGTTTTTGGTTCAGTGTGTTAGTGTATTTTGAATAAATTGTAATAGAAATAAATGAAATTGTAATAGAAATGAAAGAAATTGTAAAAGATAAGAGCACATGCCAAAAAACAGGTGATCTCAGCTGTAGGCATATTTTGGCAATCAGCTGATAGTGTTTTTACTTATGAAACTGTACGATGGTAAAAGGTTTGCTCAAAAAACAGTGTTCTCGCTCCCTCTTGACAAAATCGGCTACCTTAGTAAGGCACTGTGTGTGGGTTCTAGTGTTTGTGCAAAGCTTTTGTAAGGGAGATAAGGGAGTGTCAAAACTCTTCACATACAACTTTCCTCGCTTTGCTTGACAGTTCAAACTTTGACAACAAAGCGTGAAACGCAGAAGGTGTTTTTTCTTCCCCGTTCAAATCGACGCGTAATTTACCCCTGACTGCTGGTCATCCTGCAATGAACAGTATTGCCATGCAAAATAAATATAATGCAAATTTATTTAACGCGGTTGTTTTCAATGGCCAAAATAAAAAAAATTAAGTTAATTGATTAACTGAAACATTTACTTTAAGGAGCTAAGGAGCAAGTGATTTTTGTTTAGCCTTTTATTCGTGTTGTTTAACAAAAAGTCGTGTAAAAAGTAGAGAATCCAAGTTATTTTCTAATCATTCGGCGATCTTTTTTCAAAATGAGAATAAAGAAAAGCTTCTGTGATGCCTACAAAATCCAATTTTTACGTATATGAATCAATCGCAAGGACTCTCATTGAGTTTAATAATATGGATAAACTAATTTCTCATTAGGTCATTCTTCTTTTAACGAAATTTTATTTTCTTCCATTCCATTAAATAAGCATACGTGGGATTGTATATTGTAATATATTATCGTAGGGAATAATTAACATAACAGTAATTGCTAAATGTACAATGGATGCCTTCTTTAAGTCATAGGGTACTAAAAAAATACATATACATTTGAAAATCTATACGTTTATAGTGTTTATATGCATGTTTTATGCTATTTCCGCAATATTAATAAAATTAAGTAATTTTTCTTTCAACAGCTATAATGCTTCAGGCATTACGAGGATGCCATTTGGTGTGAACCATTTCGGTAAAGTATTCCCACGAGCGCAACTTTGGCCGCAGTATCAACCACAGCCATCGGCGACATATTCGATTTTCTCGGAAAACTCACAGCCGATGCTACAAAGCTGTATATTGAGAGCAAGTTCAAGATTGAGTGAAGAATGCCGTAAAAACTGCATAAAAACCAACCGACTAGATAAACAAATCTAAGCAGAATATTCAATTTATTAATTATGTATACATAAATTAGCAAAAACCACCCATCACGAAGCCTATCATCAAGATATGTATAAATACATTGTATTGCAAATAATTTCATTCAGGTTTTATACACGAAAGGAAGGAGATGAGTGTTTTTAGGCAATTTACATAATCTGGCTCAAGTGGCTGTCCCAATGCAGGCTTGCTTTGCACAATTTTCTTGATTCGGTTTGCTTTGTTTAACTTTGAAATATTCTTTAGCCGAATGATGGCTTAGAACGCTGCACAGAGGGGCAAAAAAGGTTGCTGTGGACAAATCAATATTGAGAGCCCAAATATGAACCGTTGCTTTTTTTTTAAATAAAAGATAATTAAATTTCGCGTCGATCTATCCGAGGCGATCTTTTAAATTCAGTTTGTATGGGAGGTGCCACGCCCCCTTTTTCATTTATTCCATGAGTTTGACGTTGATACTATATATCTCTGTACTAAGTTGGAGCACTCTACGATGGATACTTCCAGAGATATGGTGTGTGAAAACTTCAGTTTATATGGGAGGTGCCACGCCCCTTTGATATATCGAAATAACTTTTCATTTATTATCATCCCTTCATAGTCTGGAGTCGATCTCCGAAATTTCAAAAATATCGGTACAGCTGTTCTCGAGTTTTTCGAACCAAGAAAACGGCTTTCAAGAT